ATTTTTATTAACTATAATTTATATTTGTGTACGTAAGTTTGGTTGGCCTTTTTGGTTCTTGGTTTGAAGAGATGTAAAAATAGAATGTGAAATTCATTTGAAATTTTTATGCAATTTATTTGGACTGCCACGGCAGCCGTTTGCTAAGCTTTCATGTATTTGATATGTGCAGCAACTGAATTATATTATATATTCAAGGAATTCATTCATTAAATATTATATCAACTTTTAATAAGCATGTGCAATTGATTGAATTCTGCAAATTCTACAAGTACTTCGTCATATTTGCACGCTTCATAAGGCCAGTTGATGCTAAGTGCCCCGCCCCGTTGGGCGTGGACTACTTCAACACCTGCTTAAACAATTCACTACTCGAGTCGCATTCCCGGCCGATGTCAGCGGCTGACTGCGGGCAAGAGCCAGAGCCTGTTTACAGGAATCAATATGCAGAAAAGCTGATTAGGGGATGTAATGGAAATGTAATAATTGCCAGCCGGGCGGGCACTCGATGCGATGCGTCGCTAGTCGCTGCCTTTACCCTGTCGCCAGGCGCAATTAATCTTCGCAGGGTTGCGCATTGTTGGTAATTCAAGAAGAGCTAGAAGAAGAAGCAGCGGCAGTAGCGGCAGTAGCTACCAGTTATATAGCAACTCAGCAGCCAAGTCAAATAAAACCAAAAACACAAAATAGCTGGAAAAAAAATCAAGCGAAAATTTGACTGGCAAGGGGCTCGGAGGCGGGGGTCAGAGTTGGGCAGGGTTGGTTTCAATTTCACCCAAAAGCAAAAGGCAAATAATGTAATAATGTTTAACAGTCTCGCTCGCCGTCTCGCTCCGAGTCTGGCGTCTCGCTCAGTGACGTCTGTTGTTTTGTTAACAGACATTTATGACATTATACGGCGCAAAATGATGTTGTTACAGGGTGTAACAAAGCCAACCGCCACCCCAGTTTCCGGGGCCCAACCCCAAAGGAACTCAACTCAACTGCTCAACTCCTCAATCCTTTTGCCTGCTGTGATTTCATTTGCCTTACAAGCGGCAAAAATCTGCTTAATTGTGCGTAAGCCTGTCCCCGGCCTCTGTCCCCCTCCCCTAGCCGACTCTCATACCCCTTATCAGCCTCATACCCCTGGTTAAATATTTGTCAAACAGTAATTAAAACTTACTTACTTTACCGTTGCCCTGGTTGCCTTTGCCTTTGGCTTGGGCTTGGGCTTTGGCTCGGGTTTGCGAGAACAAAAGCACAACTTAATGTTAACTATGCGAGTTCTTTGAGTTTCAGAAAAGTTGAACTCTTTCTTGTTATATCTGGGGTACTTATAGCGCTATGCTTCTTCCAATCTCTATAGTGTCTGGCATCCTGGCGGAAACATAAAAATGTTAATTTCCACGCAAAAGAAAAGCCAGCGAACGGCTTTTGTTGCTGCTGCAAGCACAGGCCGCAAATTACGAGTCTGGCTTTCTCCCTGGCACATGCCAGATGATATTCTCTTCCAGGGCTGGGCCCAGCGCAATTTGACGATAACGATTATGTGCAAAACTTTTGGTTTTGTTTTCTGTTTTCATATTCTTCTTCTTTTTCTTTTTTTGGTTGCCACCAAATTAAAAATATCCCCGCTAAAGAAGTGCGGCAATTCTTTGGCTGCCGCTGCTGCTGCTGCTGCAGTCAATGCCATGTGGCACCACCGAAAATAAAA